TGTCTGGCATAGTGTTGGAGGATAAAGAAAGAGAAGTTGAATCATTAATCCATTAATAGATCAGCCTATCTTATTACAGTGACTCTGACACACACACAGACACGGTCAGTGTCCCAGTTTTCTATTTAGTCTCAATGTCTTCAGGAGTACTGTATGTGTGGAATTAGGGAGAAGAACAGAGACATGTAATACATCTGAAACACATGGGAAATGCAGCTTTAGTGTTGCCATCTAGCTCCCTTGTCAACTTTTAAGGGCTACTTTTGCCAAATCATAAAAACTAGATGGCACTCAGAAAGCTGCCAGTTGCCCCATGATGCCACTACAAGTAAAGGAATTATTCCCATGATAGTTTGACTGTCATAATAAGATCCCTTGGCCAAAACCTACCCCCCACTTGGAATCACATCGATATAATTATTAGTTTAAACGTTATACCAGGAAAACTACACCACTACGGCAATTTTCTTCAGGATCCATCTCAACAACCTTTGAACTGAATCAGCAAACTTCCAGCTACAGTTAGATTTAATCTTAGTTCAACTTAGTCTGTAACATGATTTGCTGTCTGGTAGCGAGTTTTCAACGAGCCCTATAAATGTGGACATGCACCACAACATCCGGAATATTACTTGGATCCAGATCAGACTTTGGTTTGCAGTAGATCTTATGTGGGTGTTATTGCACAGTTTTTGTCCAAGCATTTCAGACAGTGTGTATGGAGTCAGAAGCAAAAACACTGAAATTGGCCCTATCTCACAATGGTGAAGAATCCTTTTAAAAATTCCTGGATCCCAGATGATGATTCAGATTAGCAGCAGAATCTAATGGATTGTTCTGTTGGCCATACCCTACCTCTCCAAAACCTGTCATCAAAATTCAGAACATCTAGAGTTACACTGTGAATAAAGAAACAAACAAACAAAAAAAAAGCAAATCCCAGTAAAACCATTACCTCCTTGGTGAAGGTAGTAAAAAAATATTCTCATTTACTTTTAGTATTATCTACACCTGCAGGTAGTTTCATTTTTTTATGCGCTGAATTTATTAGATTTGAACTTTTTAGGTTTTAATTCATCAAAGCATTTCCCTGTTGTGTCTGGCCACTAGTGACAAGAGTGAGAATGAGCCAAAAAGAGTAAAACTGTGGGTTGTAAAATAAAAAAAAAATAGCTGAAATGTGCTGAAATACTCTGTAGAATTAAAAAAAAAGCTGCAGTCAGGTGATAATTCTCCATGGGTTTGTGAGTATGAGCAAGTCTTTTCACATAACACATACTGTACTCACTGGATCCATTGCTGATACATGTATAGTCAATAGGTACATTTGGAAAACCAAAAGAGAAAAAAAAGCATTTGTTAATTAAATTTTCAATAAATGTTACAGTGCAACCTATTTAATAAAAACAAGCAACACATTTTCCCAGTTAATAATTCTATTCCCTTGTTATAAAGCATTATTTGGGTATTTAGTCATACTCGTGTCAGAAATCCTCTTTACACCTCACAATTTACAGTATTTGTCTTTTCCAGGACACAAAAAAATTAAATGTTTTAATTTAAAAGCATGGGCAATGTACCACCTAAATTTAAGAACATTTTAAAATGCTAATTCATCATTTATTATACTACTCATAAAAATAATTATTACTTTAGTGGCATGCTCAAGGTTCCATACCTTAAAACTAAGAATCATCCACACCATACTCACCAATGATGGCATCCCGCAGGTCCTTTGTGATGATACTCATATCATCAATGTCCACAAAGTACAGGTGCTCTTCCACTGGTGGGCTCACCACCTGCCTCAACACCTGATAGTTTGTATGCCCAGTGGAGACCACCAGCACAGACACGCCCTCCTCGCGCAGCTCAGCCATTGGTCCAGTCACATCCCCTGGTTTTACCCCATCTGTCAGCCACACCAGGACTCTCGGAAGCCCCGGCCGCGCCCCATGTGCTGCACCCGGTCTCAGCACCTGCTCCTTCGCCATTCTCAGTGCCTCAACTGTGTTGGTATCCCCCCTGAGTGGTATGATATTCCTCAAAGCCCCCTGGAGGGCACTTTGGGTATTATAGGAGCCAAATCCAAACTCCAGGTGTGGTTTGGTGCCAACCTGCAGAAGTCCTACCCTCACCTGGTCCTCTCCCAGTGAAAAGGGGAGGAGGAGCTCAGACAGGAAGATGAGCATGCGGGAGTGTTCATAGGACGACACACTCCCAGAAGAATCCAACAGGAAGAGGACGTCACCCTCGCAGCAGTTTAGTACTGTGAAGGAAAAACAGAGATCAATACAGTCACTAATGTGCAAATCAAAGAGTCAAAATCAGTGCATGTTGCCTTCTGAGGCTGATCAGTCTGAAGACTATCATTCCTTTTAGCTCCCACATCTTTTTCCACAGGTCCACACACACACATTAGGAATTTCCCCCTCTTTGTCCACACACCTTCTTGGAAGAAGGAGCCAGTGGAGAGAAGCTAATATGGGAGAGAAATGATCTCTCTTGCTAGTTCCTGTCAGTACTCTGGCTGCAGCATTTTGGATTAACTGGAGGCTTTTTGGGGAATTATTGGGACATCCTGATAGTAAAGAGTTACAGTAGTCCAGCCTGGAAGTAACAAATGCATGGACCAGTTTTTCAGCATCACTTTGAGACAGGATGCTCCTGATTTTTGCAATAGACTTGGTTTATGTGTGATTTAAAGGACATATTCTGATCAAAGATGACTCCAAGGTTCCTCACAGTAGTACTGGAGGCAAGAGCTATGTCATCTAAAGTAACTATATGATTAGACAGCAGATTTCTAAGGTTTTCAGGCCCAAGCACAATAACTTCAGTTTTGTCAGAGTTTAGAAGTAAGAAGTTGCAGGTCATCCAGGCCTTTATGTCTTTAAGACATGCTTGAAGTTTGACCAG